CTTGCTCTGACAACTCTATATATGTTGTTGCATGTGTATAGGTCCTGTTTGTGCATGTGTGTAGAATATCAATTTACAACAAATAGAGTGAGAAAACATTGAATTTTGCCCTGGAGGATTAATAAAGTATGTCATCTTTTAAGTGACAAAGTAAAGAGGAGAAATCCACCTGATTGTCCAACGTGTCTGCCAGGTTGAACTTCTAGTGTAAAAGCAACACTGCAACCACAACTCAAAGATGTTGTGGTGTATAACATATGTGCATTTGACCATTACAGTTTAACATAATACTCTGCAGCTGGAGAGAGGGACAGTGAACCCTTATGGGGAAGTAATGATTGATGGGTGTACCAAGAGTGAACCCTCCTATAGAATTTGACCCCTGACCCAGAGCTGGAGAGAGACACAGTGGACCCAGTGGTAGGGGGAGTAGAGATTAGTGTGTATGAAGGGACTGTGCCCTTATATGGTATTTAGCAGAGACCTAAACATGTCCTATATAAGCTGTGTTCGATGTACAGAGAGACAGAGTGGCCATCGGGCTGGGTCACTCTCCAAGCTGCTGCAGAGCTTGTAATTGATGCTGAATTCTTTGATGTAATAAACTTTTATAATCAAGAACAGTGTCAAGCGGATTTCTTCTCAACACATCATCGCAGCATTATCGTTCGGACACCACAATGTTTAGTTTATTATCATAGAGCAGAGGTCACTAATAGGCGGACCGCGGTCAGGATCCAGACCCAGCCACCGTACTGTCCGGACCCGGACGTACAGCCGATCTATTATTGAGAATTACTACCTCGTGACGGAGCGTTTCTATTTTAACCTTTTTATATACAGTCTATGATTTTAACCCACGCAGCTTTTCTAGCATTTACTGTAGTGGTTCAGCGGCACATGAAACTCACAGACCAATTGTATGTGCTCTAATCGTCTCATGTGATGCTGCTCAGCCAATCAAATCTGTGCATTCCGATAAGCATTGCCAGAGCCGTTAACGGCCCTGAGCGAGCATTGCGAGTCAAGTCCGCAAGTGAGATAAGACACACAGAGGAAGAGAGGAGACGAGAGAGAAAAGAGATTTCACATGGCTTTTAAACAAGAATGTACAGAGACTCGCATGTACATTCTTCACGCCAGAAGTTCAAAACCAGAATATCTCATGTATCTCCAATTATAGCAAGACAAGCCAAAGTTCACGTTTCTCACTGAACAAGAGAAAGTAGGAAAGTGGTATAAGAGGGAATGAAAGAGAAGAGGAGGTATTAAAGCTGTTCATTTATTAAGATGTGTTGAGTGTTAATTATAAAATTGGTTGAGACTCAACTTCAATCACTCAAAGCTAGTTTTTATTTTTCTGAAATTGAGCAACAAATAAAATTAATTTCTTTTAAGATGCACATTTAGAAAAACTTTTTTTAAATGCAGCCATTAGATTACTTAAATTTAGAATTTGTTATTAGAGCAGTTATTATTTATTATCCCTTCAGTTTTATGTGAAAACTGACATGACGGTAAATATTGTTGAAATAGTGTCTGATTTGACCTTTATATACAGTCTATGGATTTGACAGTCAGTTGTTGACTAAAAACATATGGAGATACAACTGGGCTATACGTTATGGTAGACTACTGAATGATAACGCAAGTTAATGTTCCGGACCTTTGCTTCGTGAAATTTTCTCTAACTGGACCTCTTTGAATTTTAATTGAATACCCCTGTCATAAAGAAACCAGAAAATATTCCCATTTAAGAAGCTGGTGTCTGAGAATTTAGCCTTTATTTTCAAAATGATGAATCAATGATCAAAATATTTGGCGATTGATTTAATAGTAAACAACTAATTGATTAATTGACCAAATGTTGCAGCTCCTACTGTATCCTGCGTTATGCCCAATATTTGTGTGTGAGTTCACTGAGAAACCTTCACTTGGTAATGGGTTTTTAAATAGCTAAATAAGAAATAAGTCTACAGTGAACATGTTTCACAACACTTATGTTCACTTTCAGTTCAGCAAACCAGTGGCAACTATTTGATTTAAGAAATAGCCTACCTGAATAAAGAAGGTAAAAGGAGACTGCAACAGGTCTTCACAAGATGTTTCTTAAAGGACACACATGAGATCAAACAATGTAATTTCATAAGCCTCTTCAAAGTAACTAATTTAATTTCCCAGAAAATACATAAGGAAATGATTATCCAACATGTGGGGAATAACAGGAGCGAAATCAATGAAGAGCAAATCATCTGTGAATGTATTTGGACAATGTTATTTTTGGATGATTTAATTCTGGTGTTTGCCAACATGGAGGATATGAATCATTCACTTCCTACACAGATAAAAATCAGTTTTCTATGCTTACAGCCTTTAGCAGTAAACACTGTCTTTTCCCCCCAAGACAACTAGAGTTTTTTTCTGCATGCCATTCACTGTGGCAACAACACAGGCAGATGCCAAACAGCCTGGGTGTGTTGTGTATATGTGTGCGCGTGTGTAACAATCCTGCGACCGGGTGTCATTTGAATTCATGCTGATTAGAGGTCTGTCACTTCAGCCTTTACTTTTCTGCCTGTCCTGTCTACGCAAATGCGAGTAAAAACCACTTCAACATCCTCTCAGACATGAGCTGAAACGTGACGTTTTTTTCTACATAGAAGATCCCCATTCAGAGTATTTCCTCTTTCCATCTCTCTGTAACCTACATACCTCGTAATCTCTTCTGGTGGATATCATTTCCCCTTAATTCCCTTCTTGTCCCAATGGTTTCCTGATGGTGACCTTTCGTTTCATATCCTGCCTCATGAATTAAAGGCATTAACTCACACACACACAAACAGGTGCACATACATTTACACCCTAATGATATATAGGACTGTGATGCCTCCGGCTAAAAATGTGACTAGATCACCCAAGATCAATAATCAGGAATAATCACAGGAATTCAGTGACAGTGTGTAAACCCTAAACTGCTGGCTGACGACTGACTAACTGACTCTTCCGAGCGCCACTGAGTATAAAGAGCCACGACCTGAGCACAACATCTGTTTGATACACTTCCTTCATTTGCTTGTTTGTCTGCAGTCTTTTCCAGTCTGTGTATCCTCTTAATATTAACTAGGGCTACAGAACAAGGCTTCATGATGTTCAAGAGGTGTAAGGGCACAGCGAAAGCACTCCGCACAGCTTGTGAAATTACCTTCCTAATGGCCAGCTTGTCAGGCTTCCTCGTCTTTGTGGAGAAAGAAAGGACAAGTGGGGGGAGCGAGCCATTCTTATCCTTGTCACAGCAAAATCACTCATTCGTCTCTTTATATGGTACCTTTGCTTTCTTTTCTTTTAAGTCCTGCTTCTCAAGTGCATCTGGCTCAAATTCAAATGGTAGTAATGACTTGGTAGTATGAGAGAAGAATGCAGAGAGAGGCCAGCTGTATTGTGGGCCTGTCAATCGTTTGTCTGTGCTCTTTCAGAGTTGCCTCACCAAGCTTTAATAGGTTTTCCCATTAAGTCTAGTTAACCATCATTCACCTGAGTCATCAACTGGAGGTCAAAGACTGGATTAATTGTTTCTCCTTAATTGCAAGATTAGATCTTCAAAATCTTTAAGGTCTTTCTCATATCTTACCCTTCACACTTTGTGTCTGACAGTTTTATTTCAGAATCTTCCATCAAAGAACATAAGTGTTCAACAATAGTTTGACTATTAAAATATATTTAACAAATATGTCTTACCTATATGTTTTCTAAGGGTTTAAACGTGTGTTGTTTTAGAGTGGTTGGAAATTGACCCATTGCAAAAGTGTGATGTATTTATTTTAGAAAAAGGATGCAGCTCCTCTTCAATATGTAACAGGCATGTGGTCACTACATAGGCTCCACCTGACCAGTACTAAATTGGCAAGACTTTGCTCTTTTAATCTACTCCTTTCAGGAGAAGATGGAAATTGGGATAGGTTATAATTTTTCATGTCTGCCTTCAAACAATAGACGGGTGCCTGCGAGAACATTGCAACAGGTTGTTCTTGGTGTAATTATTCCCCCTGTTTTCCTCCAAAATCCACAGTCTTCCTTCAATGCAAACATTTATTCAAAAGTGAGTTCCAGCTGGCCAAGTTAGACAAATCAAATGGTGGTTGTTTTTTTTTGTTACTCTAAACACCTGACCTGACTTTTGTTTCAAGACAGACGAAAATTGTGAATCATTTAATTTGTGATCCAAGCACCCACAGTCATGTTGATGTCCTAAAGATGAAGGCTAACCAAGCCGTAGTTGTAGCTTTCTCTACGCTGCTCACTCGGCAACTGATTCTCCTCAGATGTAAAAAGACTGCAGTACCCACTCATAAACTCTGGCTGGAGGATGTAATGGAAATGCTCAAACTGCCAAAGCATACATATCTTGGCTCAACCAGGGCCTTTATTTGAATATTTCCATTTTATGCAACTTTATACTTCTACTCCACAACAATTCAGAGGTAAGTATTGTACATTTATTTGACAGCTTTAGATACATGTTGTTTTGCTGATTCAGATTATCATCATTATATTTATCATTGTTATAATTACTGTACAAATCAAACAATCAAAATTGTAATGATCCTTCTCTACCTTTAACAACTGCAACATTAAAATTAATTACACATTAATGCATCAATAATTATTATAATCCAATTACATAAAAGACTAATTTGCAAAAGTGGTTTTCCTTTTGATATATTTTGATGCTTACACTTTTATATTCATACTTAAGTAAAAGCTGGAATGCATATTTACTTAGATCTGAGTACTTCTTCCACCAGTGAAGTTCCAAAATCCATGAATGTATTTTTTGTCTTTTTTCCAGTTTATATTATGAATGTGTGTATGTAATGACTCTAGGTTAATAAAAATGAGTTGTCTGATTTAGTAAATCTATATGTTGACATATTGCTGTTTTAATGGGCTTACCATGACCATTGCCATTTGTCGGTTAAAATAAAACCACCTGAAAAGTTTGATATGAGCACAAAATGGATCCTTTATTCATGCTTTTTCAAATCACAAAAATCATCCCCTCCATACATCCAGATGAGCCAAAAACAAAGTCGGAAGGTACTTTATTGTTTCCAAAGTCCAAGTTCATCATCATTTATTGTTCCTTTAATGATCCACATCCTTATGCCTCAGCAGACATGCACGCACGCACGTGCACACACACACACGTACGTAAAGAGGTATGTTTTTGCCATGAAGAGAAACCATTTGCTCATTTTGATGGAGGTCTAAAAGAGAAGTTGAGCTGTCTAAGTGGATTTTTCATTACTAAATGTAATAGGGCAAAGAAAATTACAGCTGCTGCAGCAGGAAGGGTATTAGGACTGCTCATATACTTTTTACATTGATATTTGTAATGACCAAAGAGGTACAGTGCAGCTGTATGAGCATTAGAGAAATTAGCACAGTGCTCTCTCTCCCATGTGTGCGCTCTGTCCCTCCTGTCTCAGTCTGCTCCGCTCGCCTGCTATCTGCAATTTGGAAAGGTACATTCAAACTGACAGGGGAATGAAAAAGCGTATTTTTTTTCCTGCTGCCGCTCTGGACTGAGACAGAAGTGGAAGACTAACATAGAGGAAATATTGCAAATGGAAAGCTATTAGGGCACTTTCTCATACTGCTTCTGAAATATGTCATTTGCCATGTGCCACTGAATGACAAACTTATACTCAAAAATTGTCATTTCCTCAGAAGACTGTGCAGTCTAGCCTTTCAACGGACTGCAGACCCACAGCGTACATGTAATACATTAAGAGGAAATGATGAAGGTCATAAGCTTCATATGAGATCTCTAAGAAAAGAATTCCTGCTGTAAATGTTTGGTTTGTGTCCTCTTTACAGGATTTGTTCCCTGCCCACTTCTGTCCTAATTTACTGACTGGAACTAAAAAGGATATATTGATATATACAGTAAAAGTCCTGGATTGAACATTTTACTACTAAGAGTTAAGAGTACTTTAAGCAGCATTTAAATGTTGCATATGTTCTTTATTTTTTCTAGTTTTATTTATTTTTTAATTTATATTTATTTTAAGATATTTAAGATATTAATTTGTGCTGAAGAAATTTAAATCAAACTTAAATAACACCTCTTTGAGCAGAACCGTACTTTATAATATAAGTATACTCATATGTGGACTTTTCTTCAGCCTTTCCTTCTATTTCCTACCATAAAATAGAAACGATAAAAGTAAACACACACTTAGGAAATATATTTTGTTATCTATTTCATACACAGCTACTTACCCTACAGCCACCTCACAGCCTAATCACCAGTGAAATACATACATTATGTACTGTATATAGTGAGGTTTGCCTGCAGCATCACTTCCATATCCCCTGAGACAGCACTCACCTCTTGTTTCATTTACTCTATCACCCAATATTCATTCCACTTGTATCCCCCCCCCCCCCCATCGCTTCCAGCCTCATTAGCACATAACAGGCTATCGACATGCATAGCAGGGTCCTGATTTAGATCTTCAACCTGATTAGCCCCTAATGATCCGAGACAAGCTACCTGAATGGAAGAGCACACAATGGCATAAGACAGTAACATACATGCATGTGCCCTCCCGCGTGAGACACACATATGTACTAACATACATTCTCTGTGATACCTTTTAGGAGCCTGTGTTCTGCTCATTTTTACAATGAAGACATTGAAGCATGAGAGACTGCCACCTAATTATGATGGCAGACGAGACAAATTCATTTGTGTAACACAAATTGTTGAGATGTTTCATCTCAAAGAGATATTTCTGACACCTCTACAGAGCTACAAGTCCAGATAATACTATTATTATGTATATTATTATGTGTGCATGTGTTCTCAAACAGTGCATATCCCAACAGTGCATTTAATAAAGCTATTAAAAACTAAATGAAACGCCCGTCTAGTTTGTCTGATTATTCATCCAATCTTGTGGAATACAATACTCATTTAATGAGGAGAAATGGAAAGGTAAAATTAGCAGCGAACTCTTCCTTCACACATTTTTTTAATTAGTTAATAACAATTCTATTTCAATATACAATAAATACAGGCAAAACATAAAATATGTGGTAAATGTATTCATCAAAGACAAAAAACACAGATGAGGCACCGTAATGAACAGAAATGATCAAAGCTCATGGCCTCTCCTTTATCTTCCTTTCCTCTCATTCTCATTTGGGGGAGTTTATTAAAGATCCACACGACCCTTGGATATTTAATAATTTTTCAGAAGTAATGGATGCATTGAGTGAATGCAAAGGCTGGCAATTCATTACAACAATCAGAAGTGGTATTGCCCCCCTCCATTCCGTCCTCTCAATACACTCTTGTCTTTATAGTTATAAATGTTACATACAATTTGGGATGCTGACCAATCATTAATATACAGTATAGATACATTTTCCTTTCCGTTTCCATTTCTCTAATCTGTTTACTTTGCTTGGGCGTGAGGCAGAAATGGATGAATGAAATCCTCCAATGACAAATGACAGAATGTCACATTCATATATAGCAGATGGGATGCATTTCAACACACCCCTTTCTGATCATCAGACATTGGCGTTCACACAATCTGCTCTCCAAATCTGAAGCAGAGTGGTGGGTTGATCACCAATCCCAAAGAAATACCTGAGTTTCATTACGCATACATATGCTGATGTACAATGTTATATTTGCCTCAGTTTTGTTTACAATGTTTCATCTCTGCCTAAGGGCAATTTACTTCTCCGCAGCCTGTAATTTTCTCATTATTGCCCACTTCCCCTCAACCTCTCCCCTGTGTTTATTTGCGCCTGTCTCTCACCCTCTGCTCCAGCTCCTGGACTACTTGCTCATTGATGGGGTCTGCCTTGGTCACCACAGCTTTCCTGCCCTCCGGTTCGACCACGACGATCATAACACAGCACATGTCCACCAGCTCTTCCTGACATCTCCTCATCCCAGCGTCCAGTTTACCTCTCTGGGCCGGGTCACGCTTCAGAGCACCTTTCTCTGCCACCGAGAACCCCAGCAGGCCCCTTAAAACCTCATCGGACAGCACCACGTCCAGGTACCCGGTTCCATCAGATATCGTAGCGCAGACGCTCCAAAGGCCGTTGCTGCTGCTCAGTTTCCCCAAGAGGGTCACAATGAAAGCTTTGACACGGATCTCTGTGGTGCGGGGGTGCGGTTTGGACATCATCTCTTCTAGCAGGCACAAATATGTAAAAGGTGGAGAGGTCAGAGTGAGAGCAGGGACCGAGCTGTCACTCTGTGGACCTGTTTTAGCACATAGTCTATCATATTCTGCAGTGCTTGAGGTGTAACTTTGTTCCCAAGATGTGACACTCCTTGATGAGTTGCCGGTAAGTCTACAACTGGAGCCTAAATTTTCTGTTTTGCTGGTAGCACTCTCACTGTGTCTACTAGGTCCTTGGGGAACAGGAGGCTGTTTTGGCCCTCTGTAAGTTTCTACCTCAGGAAAGCAGTCCATATCTTCATCCATGAAATCACTCTCATCTTTTGTAACAAATTCTGATTCACCCGATGGCTTTGAAGTTGCTGGGGAAAAGAAATGCCCTGTAGCTCCTCTAGTAACGCCTTGAAAGTCTCTTTTCTGCGTGGTGTATCTGGAATTACTAGACCCAAGACGAGACCCAGAGCCATTAAAAGTGGGCTGCTCAATCGGAGCAGTTTCCCTGTTCTGTGGCGTGCTTCTGTGACTGCTCTCCATCACATTTGTACTTTCTTGAAAAATCACACTGTCCAACTCATCCAGGGGAAGATCGTCAAAGTCTTCATCTGGAAAGTCTTCGTCTGCCATGTTGTGATCTGGGATCTCTGGTTGGGTCAAGTGGTCAGAAGGTAAGAGGTCAGAATCCTCTTGTTCGGTAGCGTGGCGATCACCTTGGACTGAATCACTTCTGCTGCTCTGGGTCAGACCACTTCTGTAAAAGGCTTCACTTCTGTAAGAGAGTAATGTTGGACTGAGTTCATATAGCTTTAAACCAGAAAATGTTAACAGTGCTGATGGGCTCATTGCGCCAGAGGTAATGCTGAATGCTTATCAAATCTGATGGTTGTTACTGGCTGCAAATGAACAACCACAAAAACCTGATACAAAATAAGTTTGTCCATAGGCCGTAGAATGAGAAGCGCTAAATGCTTCCTAAAGTAGCTGAAAGATAAATTCTGATATCTGTTCTGAAGACAAACGATATGCTGAAATTCAAAATGTCAAGGCATATTTGCCCAACGTTGAACACGGAGGAGTTCCAGCGTCAAAATGTCAAGACATCACATTGTTTACCACCCACCTGGATGAGGCTGTCGAGACAAGGCTCCTGACAGAGGTGCTTCTTGAAGACTGAGTGGAGGGCTCACTGAGTGTCCCGTAGCCACTGTCTCTAACAGGCCCAATCTGAACCCTTCCCACCTCCTCCTGGGCCTCCAGACTGGCCAACAACTCCGCGTCATTTAGCTCCAGGTCCTCCACTTCCTGGTTACCTAAAGAGAAAGCAAAAAAATGGCATGCTGGTGACTCACGTCAAACAACTCAAATAACATAAAACAAATAGCAAGCAACTTATGGCATCCATTTACATTCTCAAACAGGCCTTATTTTATAGAAAATCTAAATTTCTAATCAAATTTATGCTGTTAAGTGTTGTAGTGCAATATTGTACATATTTTATACTATCAGTGACCTTTCTAGCACATGAGCTACTATTAAACATACAAGCTCTCATGAATATACCTTGTTGTGGTGCTGGTGGGGCCTCCTCCCCCCCCTGTTGATGCTGCTGCTGCTGCTCCTCGGGAAGTCCCAGCATCCGACTCAGCACCCTGCCCTGTCAGAGTAGTATAGAAGTATACTATTGGATCTGTAAAGTTATTGTATGTTGTATATAAAACAGCTGGGATTATGTCTTTAGCTATAAAAAAATAATAATAATAATAATAATAAAACCAGTAACTGTCCCATAATAGCTAGACTTCATCTCAATGCTCCAGAAATATACACCAGAAAACTGAATCAAAAGGTGATTAGGTCCAAATATTATTCACACAAAAATAAGGAAAACATGAACATGTATTGGTTTAAATCTGTTTTTGACAGTGTACCTTGTTGTTCCTGTCAACCAGGTCCTCCACTTCACCGCCCAGGACCTTGACATTGGTTGGCCCTAACAGAAGCACCCCAAGTCTGCAAACCATCTGCCCTTGCAACTGCAGCTTCACACCAGGCCTGAGGGTGACAAAAGTAAACGATTGGTGCAAAAGTCTCAGAAAAATCAATTGTGTTCTCTTGATTCACAAGAACTGGCAGCTATAATGTTTATTCACTTTTATATGAATGTCCACCCAAAATCTAAGTGACATAACACATAAATAAGTAACAGAAGCCCTCGGCCTCCCTCTGTCAATTAAAGCACTTTTGTTTATTAAAAACTAGAGCAGAAAAAAAAAAGAAAGTCATGGTTCTTCTTTTTACATCAGTAGCAGTAGAAAGACACCACTGTGGAGTTTTCACAGATAAATTGCTAACCTGAGAGCTGTGCTGAGTGCGGGGATAGACTGATACTCCATGGCCTCCAGGCACTGGACTCCATCTGTCACCTGTACAACAGAGACTTTGTATCTGACCAGGAACAACTGAGCAGGGAAATTATTGATAAATGACTAAAGATTTACATTCTGAACCTAACAGTATTGCTGCCCTAACCTTGTGTGTCTAAACTGTTTTAGGAATTCTAAAAGTAGAAAAACAAATTAAAACTGACAATTGTGGGACTTGCTCAAAAAGAAAAAAAAAAAACAATGCAACGTTTCTAAGCAACACCAGCACTATTCTTGGGGAAACATAGAGCAGTGACAAGTGTACTACTTAAGGTGAAAATTACAGCCTGCGCCGTATGTCCCAGCAATTTACTCTTTCATGCTCTCCCTGATTTTACCTGTCCACTCTGATTCAGTTGTGAAGAGAAGCAGAAGTCTATCTGACCAAACACGCAGAGATAAAGCCTGGTTGTAGATTCGGGTTGGACAGTTGATTTCAGTATAACTGTACACACCGGTGTATTGTGTGACGCTGTATTTATAATGTCAAATACACTGTAGTCCAGACTAGTTCATGTACAATGCTAAAAAGTGCTGTAACATAATTTGGCATCCACATCACAAACGATTTTATCAACAAAATAATAATGCAGCGCCGTCCTTGACATGTAGAGTTTCAACTAGATCTAGATCTCTTAAGGAAACCTGCTGTGAAAGAATAAACTACATCTCTGCAAGGGCCACACACTTATTGAGTATGAGGGTTGATGCAAAAACCAGTTTAAAAATACACACACAAACATATTAAGTAAAGGTAATTAATCATAATTTGGCTGTTTTTTTAAATGAACAGTATGGTTCTTGAATACCTTTTGCAACAACAACCAGGTTGTGTTAGTTCAGAGGCAGCTGACTTATATCTCATATTCTGTCCCTGTTTTTTAAGGTTAATGTTAGGTTTACTGCGCATTCATTTCAGAAGCTCAAAGGAGATTTCGACCTGCATTAGTAGCATACGGGTTGGTCTGGCTTCCCAGGGCCTCTGTGTGGTCTGTGTGACAGCAGACACATCGTCATTGGCACAGTCTGTGCCCCTCCACTCCTGCAGCTGACCATACGCAGGCTGACTGATGTCCAGTACGGAGTCAACCTAAAACAGAGTGTGAACTTTGATTTAACTGCCTTTTCCATGCAGTCATTTCTTAAATATCCAGAGAAATGTTTGACACTACATTCGCATACATTATAATGGACATACAGTGCTGTATAAGAGAATTTCTTGAATTGCTAGTCTTATTTGTGAGCCACCATTGTATACCAACCAACTAACATTTAACAACCCTGTCTCAGGGTTTCCAGCTGGGTTTCCATTTTCCATCTGAAGGAAAACTGAAATCCAGTGGTGCTTTGTTGTAATATGGCATCTGACTCCAATCATCTTTTATCCTTGAATTGCACAAGAGCTTTATTTTTGCTACAACAGCTTGCTGTGCAATTTTGTCTGTTTTGTATATCATTGGTTTATTGGCTTGTAATCTGTATGGCACAAAAGCACACACCAAGCTTGTTATAAAGCAAAAATGGCCTTCAGCCATATATTTTTAAGATCCACATAACAAAACAATGTACACACACACACACAATTACAATAAGAACATTATAAACTGACAGCTCCACTAAATAAATGCAGTAAGAACATTCTGATAATTTCTTTGCTCAATGCAGCCTTTTTTTGTTAAATGTTGATAATACTGATCCTTCTTGCCTGTGTCCTGTTGTAGGTGCATATATTCTCCTCAGCATGTACTGTTTTTAACAAGGTTTTTGAAAGGTGCCTTTAATCTCTGACCAAAATAACCCTTCTAGGCCGACTCTGGCTACTTTATAATTTTCTACTGATCAATGGGCATGTAACAATAAACATGAGATGAAACATATGATCAATATGCTTGTACCTGGACACAGAAGGTGCCGTTGACTTCAGTCTTCTGGGCCTGAGTGAGTCCTTGAGGGAGAACAGGGAAGTCCAGGTCCCTCAGGTCTGTCAACAGCCACTGGTCCAGCGCCTACAATTTCACATCATGCAGTGAAGCACATGAGGTTTTAGACTGTTGCCAATTCTGTGGTTCACTGCAAGTTCATTTCCTACAGTATGACATATTTTATGACACTCAGTTTTATCAGTATTATAAGTTATTTGACTTATACAAAGGGTTGGTATATTTCCAGGAATTTAGGATATTTTGCACAAAAATGTTGTACCTTTAGTGAAAATACAGTGTGGAAAATACACATAAAGAAGCAATGTTAGGTCTTACGGGATGTTATGGTTAAAAGTATGTCTATTTAATTGAATTGTAACCACGCACTGCATTCGGCAGCGCACTCTCCCATCACAGGTAATTTGCCAACATCCCATTAAAGAGCAATTCAGTAAAATTACAACCCTCCGAGGGTTTTTTGGAGAGATGTCGTTTTATTGGGCGGGATCAGAATGAATGTTTTTTTGTTGTTGTTCAAAGTTCAATACAATGTTAAATGTGTCGACTAATTAAATTAAAGTTCAACTCAACTAAATTGTTGATTTTTTTATTTCAGTTAGAAGGGCTTACAAATATGTCTGCTTATGATATGGTAAAATGTTTGTTTCTATCTGACATGGCAAATACAGCCAAAGCAAAATAACCCTTATATTTCCATATTATTTCCATTATTTCCCATAGAAAGTTTCCATCTTGAATATTCCCGGAATTTTGCAACCCTAAACATGATGAGATTAGATAGGGGTGTTAAAGCATAGTGACTCAGCGGTATCTTAAAGTCCCTGCAGATCTTTGGTCTCTTATTTATGATATGAACATCCTAATCTGCTTCACTCAAAAGGTGATCTCCTGAGTTGAGATGTAGTGACCATGTGGGCAACTTGAATAAACTGCCGTGTTCCTGGAATCATCAGGAGTGGATATGTGCCTCAAGAAATTAAGCATTATCCTCCGCAAGAAAAAAGATAGACTTTAGCCATGGAGGGACCCAGCGGTTCAGCAACAATATTTTAGGTACACTGTTGCGTACAAATGACGCGTAAATGCAAGAAAACATACCCCGCATGACGCCACCACCAACTGGTACAGCTGACACTTGACAGGACGCTTTCACGCTGTTTACACAAAATTCTTTGTTTGCTATCTGCATGTTACAACAGAAATCGTGATTTCTGAGAGCAAGAGGTGTTCTTTCACTCCTCAATCATCCACTTTCGCCGATCATTACCCACAGTAGCCTGATCTTCTTGTTCTCAGCTGAAAGCAGTAGACAGGAGTCCCAGGCTTTTGTTGCTCATCTGCTCCTAGTTTTAATGGGGTATCTTTGAGCTGGGTTATTCCCTCTAGAGTGGTACACCTTCAAGACGGGATTACCCCATAGAGGTAAAGTGAATTGTTGTATAAATGCAATAAATGTGCAGTTGCTAACTACCTAACAACTAACAATTATTTTCTGACTAATCTGTTGATAATATTTCTGATTAATCATTTTGTCTATGAAATATAGCTATGATTTTAAAAAGTTAAATATGCCAATCATGTGTTCTGAAAGCCCAAGGTGACATCTGCAAATGTGTTTGTCCAACTGATCGGAGTCTGAAAATCTAATATATTAATTTAAAACAGAGAAAAGCAGCAAATCCTCCCATTTGAGTCAGAAATCAGCAAATGTTTGACACTTTTGCTTGATTAAATGGCTTAAACAAAAAACATCAAAATTGCAGTTAATTTTTTTGTTGATTAATTGTCTAATTGTTTCAGCTCTACACAGCTGTGGAGAACAGTATGTGGGTGACCCAGCAAGGTCTTGCACAAGAGACTGAAGGAACACTTGACACACGCATCGGATGTCTGTAACCACCACATCAAAGCCAGTCATAGCTTCAACTGGGAAGGGGTCAGAGGTCATCCATACCAGAGACCATGTTGGAAGAGAGACAGGAGAAACCATCTTCCCCCCTTCATATACGATCACCTGTTATCACATGACCCAAGTTCCATACTTACTCATGTAATAGTAATGGAGGTACCGCCATGACAGTTGAGCAATCTCTAGTCTGTGATCATTATGCCTTCAACTTCACAGTTAAGACAGGTACCTGTTGCCTACCTGTTGGTTGATTTGCTGCTGTGACAGATGACCTGCTCCCCCTGCCTCTTCCAGCAGCCACTCCACACAGGCTTCCAGCCAGGCAAATGGCACCTGGACGTGCCAGGAAGACTGCAACCAGGCCTGGGTAGCACGTACCACTGCCTGGATCTCAGGGGCCATCCTCTTCCTTAGTGTGTATTTCGTGTAGGCTTCTTCCTGCTATTCTCTCCACTGTTATCTGCTATTATATAACAGGCACACAACTCTAGTATCAGGCGGCCAAATAATTGGTTACTGAGTTCAGTTATTCATATTTATTTGCATTTATCAGTAATTACTCTAGATTACACATCAGCAATAATACATTTGGTACATTATTGTTTTATTTACAGACTAAATAGTTTGAATTCCCAAATATATTCCACCAATATTTTAGTAAAACGGCTTTATGAAAAAGCAAATTAACTGTTGCAGGTATGGTATACAAGTTCAAATGTTACATTTTATTTAATTCATGACATAGCACCCTGTAATCGCTGAGGGCTTTAAGGGAGTTTCTATGGTTAAGAGCCTTGTATCTCCAGATCCACTTCATACCAAAACATGTGGTGATTTACTGGCAAGAGGAATTAGATTACGAATATACAAGAACATAGCAGAATTGCTTTCTGGTATGTTTCTGTTGTAAAATCATTTTGGATAAACCCTGTGTCTCTGCAGATGATCACATCTGGGTACAAAGGCGTGGAGAGAAAGAAAGAAAGATTTACATTACATTCACATGACTTGGCATGACGCTTTTATCCAAAGCGACTTGCATTTGTGGAACAACATACAAGCATCAATACAGTAAGATCTCCAAGTCACAATAGATAGCAGTATGGACAGCCATAAATACCAGATTGATTGAATTACCTGCAAGTCTACATTTTTATTTATTTATCGTATTTTACTTATATGTAAATATTTTATTAGCTTCAGTGTATGTAACATACATGGTTTTACTCCAGATTTGCTTTGGCAATGTAAACGTAATGTTCCCATGCCAATAAAGCCCCATTGAATTGAGTTGAGTGAGAAATGCAGGCAAGGATAGCATGCTATGGAATTATACAATTTTTAAAAATGTTAATGTTCAAGTAACGGTTGATGTTGAGGTTACCTGAGAAACGTGTAAGCAGCCTCGTCCATAACGTGTTGTGGAAAGTATGTTAACGTTAGCCAAGGCGCCAACTTATTTAGCAATGTTCAAGCTACTATAGCTTAGCTTTGGGTCCATACAACATAACAATATAAGTTATTATAAACAAAAGACACGTTCTTAGAAAGACACAAATTAACATTATCCTTGCAGATCATACCTTGTAAACAGGAATAACTTAATCGCCACAGTAAACTGGGACGTGACTGCACCCGGGCATTTGGAAACGCTTCCGCTCTTGTGATTGACGTATGTTCTATCCAATGGTCACTGTCGCCTGTTTGCTTTGCATTCTGCTCAACCAATCATCACACTGTAGCTCAACTTGTACATTTGCATGTTCGGTAGAGAAGGAAGGGGGACGAGCGAGGTGTTGCACTGCAGGTTTGTGTTTTGACGATATTGTCACCTTTTTCTGTGCTATACTGAGCCCAGTGCAGTTAAAGTACACAGGTACTATAATAATAATATATTTAGCGGTAACTGTGTTATTTGTTTTGTGCCCGGTGCAACGCTGCCTAATTAGCTGGCTTGGCTAACTCCCCTTGTGCTCAACCGAAAATATGGCAACATGGCGAAATTAGCTAGCCGCTAGCTTGAGTGGCTCGGGGTGATCTTTGTGTTGATCGATTGGTAATGTTTCATGAAGCCACTCGCGTTAGATCAGTGACACATTACGACGCCTTGCCTCTTATGCAACTAGTAAAGTGTTTGAAATGAGTACGGTCGACATTTAGTGAAACTATTCATTAAAATCTACACGACGAAGCTCGTAAGTTAGCTAACTTTAACGCGTTTCCCTCCGGGCTATTCAGCAACCCGGTAGCTAACATTAACCTCAGTTAACGACGTAGCTAGCTTAGCTAAGTTAGCTTCAGTTGAGCCAAGTTATCTCACTTTCGGTTGGTCAGTGTCGGCATATAACGTGAATTACTAATTCCTGGCGTCAGTTATAAACCTGTAACGTTGCACTGCTTGTAAAGGAGAATTCGTCGTGTTGTTTTCCGGTCATGATAGCAGAATATGAACGTTTTTTCGGCATCTTACGTTGATATTATTCGTTCATCACTGGCTGATTAACTCATCTCTCGATTGCAGGACCGTTGCAGTCGCACACTTCCTGCACAACGAAACATTGTAAAATGCTTGCTTCACTGTCCACCAAAACATGCATATCATTGTTACGATATCCTAACTGATAATATTATAATGACAATAATAGAGTCCCTTCAAATAATGATCGTCTTTAAGGCTCGCTGGATGGATTATAAACCTAGTTGACCGGTATTTATTGTTAGTTAAATATCAATCAAAGCGATATTCACAGGGATGAAATACAATGTATGTGATGATAATCGATGCGTTTATAACCTTGCTATCACTGGGCTTTCAACATTTCTGTAAATTAACTAGCCTCTCCCACCCAGACAGGTCGCAGCAGCTGTTTGGTCCTTGCAGATTTAGTTCCGCCTATCAACACGCCCTTGTCCCTGTAATAAATATCGGTGAGTGCTGGTTTTCTGCCAGTTCTTCTCTCTTTTCTCACCATATCATCCATTGTTCTTGAATAGTCGGTCTCCAGTACTCAGATCGATTGTCTTATTTCTCTGTCCTCCTCTCACTCTTAAAATGCTGACAGAGTACCACAGCTCACAGGGGTCAGTTTTCTGCTTCTCTTTCCCTGCTGCCACATCCTGTTCCCCGGACCAAGGTGCCCACTCCATCTCTTCCACTGTCAGGAGACCATGGAGACAGAAATCGAACAGCAAGAAGAGACTTCATTCAGCAACACAGAGACTAACGGTATAAAATATAGCTTCCTTTACATTGTTGGTTATGTTAACAAAATGCATCAGTTTATTGACAGGTTCAGGTTCAGAAAGGTCTGTGTCTTATGTAATGAAAGATAGGCATTGGAGCAGATTATTTTAGGCTTTTGTTTTAGAAATGTGGAGAGAAAAAAAATCTATGAGTGAAATATTTCACTTGGTATTCCTCTTAGAGGTTGTTGTCGGGAAATGTATGTGCAACCATTAGGGACCTAATATATAAGATTCCCCTCCCAGAATTGTGTTCATGTTTTCATAGAAGCATTAAATAAATCTTTGGCTCAGTTATTTGTGTAGATTTAGCTTAGCATATGAAAACAGAGTTTGAAATTGTCTTGTGCTTCACTGCTTTCTGTGGTGTTTTTTGATTTATTTAACTTTATATTTTGGAAGCTTGTGTGGGATTGTCAGTGTGTGTATTTTTTAAATTTTTTTATCTCCTTATGGCAGGTAAGCGCCCTGCTGAGGATGCAGATGAGCAGAAATCATTCAAACGCTCCAGGAACTCGGATGAGATGGTTGAGCTTCGCATCCTCCTGCAGAGCAAAGTAAATCAGCTCCTCTTTCATTTCACGTTTCATGTGTAACCCATATGTGACTTTGTATTTTTGTCTCTTTCTTTTGTGCATCCCTTCAATAAGACTGCTGATTTCTTTTTGTTACCACATCTCTGCCTTTTGAATAATTAATTTTCACCCTTTATTAGGGGTATTCAGTCAGTCATTGTGCTTTTCCTGACATTAACTGTAATAACATCTGGCACCATTTAATTACAGTACCATTGTATTATTTCCACATTTTCTCATTTAATAATGTATTCAGTTTTTATAAGTATTCCCTGTATTCTCAGAATGCAGGAGCTGTAATTGGAAAAGGTGGCAAAAACATCAAAGCCCTTCGTACAGACGTGAGTACATCTATTTTATACACCCTGAATTTTTATTTTGTTTAGATTTTTTATTTTGTATTTATTTTCCCTCCACTGGTCTTCAGCCTCTCAAAACTGCCCAGCCTCCTTTTATAGGAGAGCATTTGTTTCTTCTTTTTTTCTTTTTTTTTTTTTAAAACATTTACCCTTTATAACTGATTAAAAACCTTTTTTGGTATTTGGCAATGTTTTTTCTCTATGTAAACAACGGATGTGGTTAGCTGATGCCTATGTTGATATTAGCCCTCAGCTCATGAGATCTTCTGACAAACCCTTTGAGGTTGGATTTATCTTTTCCACATGAACATCATGTGATTGTCTCAGCTAAACTGGCCCTTGGCACAAAAGTCCAATTTCATGTCCATTTGGTTCTCCTGATTGATAATTGATTGTAATAATGCTGTTGTGGCAACGCTGATGCTCTTGTTAATTTAAATTTATGGGCACAGTGCGGTGTTCATGTGGTCACCTGCAGTGCCAGCTAATGTTTTTTTTAGTGTTAACGCAACCTGGCCAATTTTTTATTCATTCAATGTCATTGCCTCTTTCTCTAGCCCTCCACAATTTGTTCTACCCCTCTTTCTCACTGTCTCTGGTCTATTCCCCAACATTGAACTCTTCATGTTCTTAATATGCCATTACCCATTTCCAATGTCTCCTTTTCTCTCTTTGACAAACCAATCTCTGAGAGAATCAAATTAAAGTCACGTTTGAACAGTGTAGAGCCTGTATATTAAAAATGTATTCCTCTTCCCTCTTCCCTCTCCCTTGTTTATTATTTTACTGTTGACTTTTTGCCCACTTCCTCCTCTGTTGCCCATGTTCTGGATGGCCCCTCCTGCGCCCGCCCACCTGACACCCTGGTTGGCCCTGTCCATAATCGTGCCCTGTCCCTAAATGGGCGCCTTACTTGATTGACATCTGTGCTCGAATGGCCCTGGCCCTGGCCCCTGCCCATGCCACGCCCAGTACAATGCCAGTGTGTCAGTCCCAGACAGCAGTGGGCCTGAGCGGTATGTCCCTAAGCTCCTCCCTCTCACTGCCTGACTACAGGTCAAACAAACAAGAAGAGATGAATAATAAATAGTCATCCTGCCTCTGTCAGGTCACTGTATTTTAACCTACCTGTTCTCACAGTATTTTAGCCTGAGTCAAAATGCGTTCATGTCCAAAGCCATGTCAACATCCTTTTTATATGCCATTTTTAAAGTCACGTCAACATTGAAACTTAGGCTGGTGTTGTCAGGGTTTTTGCAGTCTGCCACTGTCTTTTTAAATCTTTGCTATAATATGTGCAATATGTCCGTGTTTTATATTTTCTTTCATTTTCATTGATGATTATCTGTCCTCTTTATCTTTCGCGTTTTCACCTCCCTTCCCCCCTCAGAGTGGATATACTGGTGTTCTTGTTTTTTCGTTAGTCACCTGCTTTTCATACCATCCCATTCTTTCCTTGTGATGTCCTCATAATACTGATAGACTTTGATTGTCCATCTGAAAAGGCAAGCTAGGGTGTGTGTGTCTCATGTGTGTTTCCTTTCCTGTCTTCTGCTTCATCTGAACTTGGTTATTGAATGCTGGAGCTATTGAAAGTACAGATTATCTCTCTGTCCCAATCATCACTACATTCTTTGGTTTATCGCTTCTCCCATCCCCTTTTAAAAAGCATCAACTCCAGTGGTGGCAAGTGTAATTTTCCATGGTTATACTCTGCTCTTTTACTCTTCCTCATTCTACTTCCATGTACAAACTGTGCTTAAGTTTTCTTGATCAGTAAATTAATTGTTTATTTGATTATGTCAATAGGTGGGTGCAGACGACAACATTTAATTTACAATTTGTTGGCCAAATGAAGCAACAAAATTGCTGTCCAAGCCAACTTTTTAAAGACGGGACACAAATGATAAAAGATAGAGAAAATATATTTGTTCTCTCTGTTGTTCCTGATCTTTAAAAGTTGTGTTGGGCACCTTATTTGGGGTCTTTGTAGTCAGTCTTTGTGGTGTGCATCCACCAAACTATGCTTTTTAGGACTCTAGAGTTGTCTCTGGCACCATGGTGCTTATTCCTGCCAGATCCTCCTCAGGCTTCACCCCCCCCCTCTTGCCCCTTCAGTGGTCACCAAATGCAGTCACTTTTCTTTGGGTCCCTTTTTTTTTAATTTTGTCTCTTTTCTTCCTTTCTCTGGACAAAAAACTGATTTCTTCTCATTGCATTGTTTGAGTACCAGCTTTTTCCAGTTACTCTGTTGAATTATCAATAACCTACCATGAGAAGTTTAGAAAACACTGGATCTCTACATTTAGCTGTAGTCTCAGTACTGAGTTGGTTAAATGGGGTGTGACTGTTTATCTATGGCAAAAAAGAGGATGTAATGAATTCTCTGATCTGAAATGTTGTTCCTTCCCTCCTGGGATGCCTTGCTGGCTCCCCCAACCCCACCC